AAAATAAGAAAATACAAATATAAAAATACAAAAATGAGAAATAAAAAAGAAAAAATTTAAAAAAAGAGAAAAAATAAAAATAAAAAATAAAAAATGTAAAATAAGAGAAAAAAAAACTCAAATCAAAAACCTAAAAAGGCGATTTGGGTAAAAAAACTCTGAGCTAAGAGTTGATAGACAGTTCAAATATATTAAAGATCAAAGACATTTAAAGATACCTTAAAGTTGAGGCAAAGTTCAATGAGCTCAATATAATTTTGAAAGTCAAGAGAATGAGTTTTTTAAAAAGAATTCTAGATCAATATCAATAATTGTCTAAGTATTCATTGTTTGGACATTGTGGTACCATTCAAACCATCCCTAGTGATTTGCTTTGAATTTGTTCCTTTGCCCATTTATTTTGTACCAGACTCATTCCTATATTGATGACATTTCTCTCAATTCACCTTATACTCTCTTATTTTTGCATCCCAAAATAAATTGAAGAAATATTTGATTGCACTATATTTGTCAAGAATTGAAATGATAATGAATGAATGATAATGTTCATAAAAGATTCTTGCATTCCTTTGAAAAGAAATCCAAGATAATAGGGTAAAAATTAGTAAAAACCTGAAAAGATGATTTGAAAGACACATGGTCTGATCAAGTGATGAATATGGTGATGGATTGATTGACATAACCTATGAGTTGTGATCAAATGCTGGAAATAATGTGGATCAATTGATAGAATTTATTTTGAAATTATTGGTGTTGAGAAGTTTGTGAGTTATGATCAGATGATAAAAATAATATGGATCAATTGACATAATTTATTCTAAATGGCTAGTGTTGAGAAGCTAAAAAGAGAAATGAGAAATGGTGGAGTATTGAGAATCATATTACCATAATTAATTAGAATTTCATGACATTAATGTTAATGACATCTACATTACATATATTATGTTTGCATTGTAGTTTGAACAATACATGTATGTAATTTGGTTTGGCTATGCACTTGAGTCATGCAGTGAATATTTGAATCATGATTTAGAATATGGCATCCGTAGTATTGTGAGAATCTAGATTGTTGCATTTGCATCATTAAGAAAACATTTACATCATTATCATCATATTCTTTACAAATTTTTGAATTTGATGAAAGATTGAGAATTTTTATAACAAGAGATTTTGAACTTTTGAAGGAAAGCTTGACATTTTCATTGCATGCATTGTATTTTTGAAGGTCTAGTGCATAACATGCATCGTATTTAAGAATGTCTAGTGTATGAATTTAGGAAAGCAAGGATATTTTAAGATCTCACTTGGAAAAGATAGACATGAAAACTTTCCAATAAAAGAATTTCAAATTCTTATTTGAAAAAAAAAGACTTTGAGTTAAGATTATGATATTTGAAAAAGGATGTTTCAAGAAAAAATAATTATAAAAGTTGTGAAGCCTTTGCTCAAAAGAGCATTCTTCTATTTTAAAAAAGATTTGTAAGACCTCTGAGCATAATCTCCTATAATTTCTTTTGATAATCTATAAGACCTCTAGACATGACTATCGAAAAGCCTTATTTACTTTTTAAAAGTTGTTGAGCTTCTGTTTAGAGGAGCCTTATTTATTTTTCAAAGTCATTAAGTCTCTACTTATAGGAACCTTATTTAATTTTCAGAAGTTGTTAATCCTCTGTTTAGAGGAGCTTTATTTATTTTTCAAAGTCGTTGAACCTCTATTTAGAGGAGCCTTATTTATTTTTTGAAGTCGTTGAGCTTCTATTTAAAGGAGCCTTATTTATTTTTTGCTTTTGCTTAGAGGAGCTTTATTTATTTTTCAAAGTCAGTGAGTGTTTGTTTAGATTAACCTTATTTATTTTTCAAAGTTATTGAGCATCTGTTTAAAGGAGTCTTATTTAATTTTCAAAAGTCATTGAGCTTTTATTAAATGAGCTTTATTTATTTTTCAAAGTCGTGAAGCCTCTGTTTAGAAGATTTTTTATGTTATTTAAGAAGTCTAAGTAAGTTTAAAAAAATGTGTTGAGTTGATTCCTAATTGGGTTATCTACATCTTTACACAATTCTTGTTTTATAAAGAATACGTAAAGAGGGGCAACTGTAGACACCTCAATATGCCTAGGGTTTTACTTATTTTTGTTAATTAAAAAAATAATAAAAAAATCAAAAATCAAAAATAAAAAAAAACTTTAAGGAGGTTGAATTTGTTTAGGATTATTTCTCTGAGGTTATCAAATTTAGGTTAAAATCAGAATTGAAGTTTGAATTTAAAAGGAATTGAAACTTTGTTGACATAGAGGGTTCTCTTGATTTGAACCCTATAACTACAGACCTTAATCAAGCCTCAAAAGATACACATATCAGAGAAAGTACACAAAAAGAAAAGCAAAAAAAACTCATGAACGCAACAAAAAATTTTAGAAAATTTTTTGTTTTTGCAGAATCCAGTTGAACTTTTAGTGATCTTTGAAGATTTCAATGACTTTTCGGCTAGATTTCCAATTTTCAGTGAGTTTCCCAGTTTTTGGCTTCTGTTTTCCAAAAATTGACTAACTTTCGAAGAACTTCTGATGACTCAACCCAGATTCTAATGAAATTTTTAAAATCTAGTGAAGATTCAACTAATATCTTTAGGGTTCTATAAAGAGAGAAAAAAGAGAAGAAGAAAAAAAATTTTAAGGAAAAAAAAATTTTACTCTTTTACACCCTTCAAAAAACGATGTCGTTTTGGCATTAAGTAATCTTCAGAATTTGTTTTTTTTTTAGTGGATGACCCGACCCAAGTATTGACCCGCCTCTTCAACCCGCATCCCCGTCTTTGGCTACAACTGAGCTGAGCTGCGAGCTACGTGTTTCAACCACTTCCTTTGCTTGCAACTGAGCCACATCCTTTAAGTCGTCGAGCAGAACCGTTTCTATTTTTAGGTGTATTTATTTATTTATTTATTTTTGCATGATTAAATTTTAACAAAAATAAAAAAAATAAAATATATTTTTTAGAATAAATAATAATTATTTAATGATGAAATTTTTAAGAAATTTCAAATGATAAATTTCTATAAAATTCCTAGATGATAAATTTTTTTTAATTTGTTCCAAATAGTGAAATAATTTAAAAAAAGTTTCAATAATAATAATTAATATTTATTTTTAATTTTTAAAAAATAATAATAAATAATAAATTTTTTTGTTGAAAATATTTGACAATTATCCAAGGATAAGAATCTTAGAAATTTCAAATAGTAAATTTTCTAATATATCTCTAGGTGAAAAATTTCTTTAAATTTGTTCCAAATGATGAAAGAATTTAAATAAAACTTAAAAAAATAATTATCATATTATTTTTTTTCCCAAGATAAAAAGTAAAAAAGAATTTTCTAAATAGACCCAAATTATGAAAAATTTAGAAATCAAAAAAAAAATTTCTAAATTGGTCAAATAGTGAAAAATTTAGAAATAAAGCATGTAAAATAAAAAATAAATTATGAGGATGAAATTCTTAGTGATTGCAAATGATTGATTATTTAAAAAAATTTAAGTAAGAATATATTTTTAATTTGACCCAAATTGTTGAATAATTATATATATTTTCAATAAAAAAATTGAAATAAAATAAAATAATGATTAAATTTTGTTCCAAGAACCTCTTCAAAAAAATCAAATAAAATTTTTGAATACCTTTAGATGTGAAAATATTGTTAAAAATTCTACTATATTAATAGAAAATATCTTAAAAGTTATTTTCAATATTTAAACATTAAAATTTAATACCATTAATATCAAAACCTTAGGAATAATTTAAAATAAAATGGTAACGTCTTTGAATAGATATGTGACGGTATTATAACTTTTTTCATATGCAACCGAGCTCTCAAATCTTATTTTGATTAGTAGATTAGAACGTATTTTTTTAGGAAACTTTTAGTCAAGCTTAAAAATTTCTTAAAAAATAGATTCATTAAATGATCAATCATACTTAATTAAAAAAGATTAATGATAATTTTTTTATTAAATATAATTATAGATTTATAGATTTATATATTATAACAAAGCGTTTTGAGAAGACATAATCTTCTGGTCTCCAATCACCGTTATAATCACGTAATAAGAGTAGTTGCTTATCAAAGCTCCATGGGGCTCCATCCATAACCATCTTCTTATCCACTCCGGCTGAAAATTTGAATAGAAAAAGATTTTCTTCTAGATCCATAATATCAACATCCCTCGGGATTCTCCATATTAGTTTCAGTGCTGCTTTCATTACTTCTTTGTTAAAAGGGCCTGGAGTCAACAACTTCCTTAGCAGCCGTGCCTCCCTCGCGATGATGTTATTTCCTGTATCAGCTGCTGGTGTTTCAACACCCTCCTTCTCCTCTTTCGTTAACCGAAGGTTTTGCCATAAATCATCGGAGTCCTCTTCAACACTCATTCTAACTCCAATCTCCTGTATCAGTTTGATTGACTAAACTAAGACTATTCCTCAAAGATTTCTTAGATTGCTTCTCAGGCAACCTTGAGAATGCTAGCTTGAAAGACGAGACTTACTTCCACAAAGCGAACCTCTCAGAAGACTATACCTAATTTTTTATTTTTGCACACAAAAATTGGCCGTAAGGTTTTTAAGATTCATCATTCTCTATATTCTCGCACAGATTAAATCCAAATAAATTTAATTATATTGAATTTAACGAATTTATGAAAATTTTTTTTTTTATAACTTTTCAACAAACTCAATTTCGATTAATAACTTCTCACACAGCTCTCAATAGAATCAAACTTGATTGATAATTTACCACAACCTCACAATGAATTCAAATTGTGATCCACAATCTCTGGATTCAAACTCTATTGATAACGTTCAATTATGATTGTTATAATGTCTTTCTAATTGTAATATTGCTTGTGATTAAATGAATGAGATTTTATAAAAGAATTACATAAACAGGTTAAGCATAGGAAGTTGGTAGTTTGGTTAATAATCCATCCGAATTTTCAACAAGGGCTTGAAAAAGACAATCTTTGTTATTCCCGGTCGAGAAACGGACCACAAAGGCCCGAACCTAGACCACTGATAAAGATAATCAGAATAAAGGACCCAACCAAACAGAATCCATGCCCACTAACAATCCACCATGTGAGCCCCATCTCTTTGTTTCGAAATCATCAGACACGATCCCCATCGCATTAGGAATTTTGGGATCCTGTTCCCCTGTTCCCATTCCCATTGCCTTTTCATCATCATAAGCTTGACTAACAGGCGAAAGAAATGGAGATTTCCCAATTCTTAAGGCAAATTCAAGGAGTTAAATACCTACAAAAGTCGGTTTTCCATTGCAGATACAAAACAGTGAAAACGCATATCCGCCTCATCCTACCAAACTACAACCATATATTCACAAAGACTTCCTGATTACATAAAATTGAAAATTTTTCTACACTTTATTTTAAGCAGTGGCCTTTTTGGCTTTTTTAGCAGCAGGTGACTTGATAGATTTAGGCTGCTTGGGTTTTGCAGGAGTTGATTTCTTCTTAGCTCCAACTTTCTTTGCAGACTTCTTTGTTGCCTCGGCTTTCTTCGGCTTTGCAGCTGGTTTAGATTTCTTCTCTGTTTTAGCCTTTGTAGCAGTGGCTTTCCCTTTTTCATAAACCTCGGATAGCTTGTAAGAAGCTTTGATCTTTATCAGTTTGCCTCTGGCAGCTGAGTTTTTAAGCTGAAGAGCTAAAATTTTCCTGAAATTCGCAGGAAGCACCGCCTTGTGCTTCTCTTCCATGTACTTGGCTATGGCGTATGGACTCGAACCACTCTTCTCGTTCAGAGCCAGAAGTGCCTCCTTAATCATCTGCACAGTAGTCCACTGTTAATTAATTTGCAACAATAAAAATATATATATATACAAATACAGATTAAGGAACAAGAAAATACCTGGAAATAAGGCGGATGTGCAGCGGGTTTTGGTTGTTTAGGCTTTTTCTCCTTTGGAACTTTGGGTTTTTTCTCCTTTGGAACTCTGGGTTTTTTCTCTTTCACAGGCTTGTCCGCCGGCTTTAGCTCCTCAGCTGGCGGTTGCGGCTGCTCAGTAACTGGAACTTCAGGTTCAGCAGTGGCCATGACGGCTCACAGTAACAATAACAGATTCAATTGAAAAATAAATCACCGAGAGCAAAGGAAGAGTCTAGAGAAAACCGTTTAGCTTTGATAAATTCGATGGAAATGACACTCTGGTAATTTATAGCAAGGGCGGGATCTGTGTCAGAGGGCAGTGTCGGTCAATGATTGGTTGATGTCGAGGCATTGGGGATTACCAACGTGGAGGAAGGGTTATCAGAAGCGTACACGTGGAAGAAATCGAAGCGTTACTAAGTCGGGTATTTTTTGTGCCTGAAATGGGATATTTCTGCTGCTGTCTATGGATAGCCTTTGGTTTTGTGTTTTTACGTCTGATTTTGGGGGCTTTATTTCTTGGGTTTGCTTTTGATTTTTGACATGATAATTTAGTCAGAATGGAGTTAAAGAAGAGGTGATTATAATGTGATTTAAACGGAGTGAAATGGTTAAGATTTAAGGGTGATTTGTAGCTGTTAAAGACAAACAGTTTACTTGGAGATTTTCTCTCTCTTTTTTTTTTTTTTTCTCAGAAAAACAGTTTTTCCAAGTTCCATATACTAAAATCAACGGCAAATTTCATTAAAAAAAAAAAACTGCACATGAATTTTTCTTTTTTACTTGTATAATTTTACCAATAGAATTGCCTTCTTTTTACAAGCCAACTAGGCAAAACAATGTTATAGAGAAGGACCCTTATCTGCCAAATTAAACCCACGGTTTTGGTTTGGAAGGTTAAAAAATCTGATGGAAGTAATTAAATTATTCTCTCCATGTGGATTAGAATTCCAACACCAAGCCCAGTTTGGATAACCACACAAATAATCTTATACACTCTGAAAAAATAAAATAAAAACCTTCAACTCCTACCAACGAACACGTTCTGGCAGTTTGCTGACGAGGTGAATGTAACATCTAACAGAGTTGACGTTTAGATATCAATATTTATAAATATTTTTCATTTTTTATCTCAAGACTAAAACATTTTTTTTGTTAAAAAAAACAAATACTTACTGGAATTTAGAATTTAACTTAAAAGGACACAATTCATCCGGTTCTGTAAGTATCATCTCATTAAAAGCTACGTTCGTTTCGTAAAAATAATTTTTAAAAAATAATTTTCATATTTTCGAGTATTTATTTGGTAAAATTTTGATTGATCAACAAAAAATAACTCGTTGATCAATTAAAAATAAAGCTATTTTTTTAAAAATTATCTTACAAATTTCAAAATAAATAACTATTTTTTAAAAAAAATTATATATGAATAAAATTATTTATCAATATTTTTAAATATAATTTTACTTATAAATAATATTATATTAATAAATAATATAAAAAATAATAAATTATTTTAATATATTTTAATAATAAATTATTTTTAATATTTTAATAGTTATATTAATATTATTTGAAAAAAATAAATTTTTCAAAAAATAATTAAATAACGAAAGATATTTTTCATTGATTCATCTACAGTATATCTCTTTCAAATTAAAAAATGTATATATTTTTTAAAAATTATTTTTTGAAAGTAATTTTCTGTGAAAGAATGGGAGCCTAAAAACAAAATCAATTGACAAACAATCAAAACATTGGCTGATATTGTTGACTGCATACCGACGGAAAAACTCCCACTATCAGACTGCTGAACTCGTGCCATGTCGACAATGCTAAGCACAGTTTTGGTTAAATTAAGTACTTACTAGGCAACTTAGTAATGAAAGATCAATCGAGTCCAAATCCAACAACATACAGATAACAATGACTGCATATCTAGTAAATAATTAAGACAGAGTTGACATAAATGAAAAAGTTGGCTTCTATCACAATTCACAACTCATAGACAAAAACGAAAATTAAAACTTTCGGGACTGGATTAAAAACAATAATGATAACACGGGCAAATCTAATACTGTCAAATCTATGAGGCATTGCATGCATCTTGCATGAACACTGGCAATTTCTACGAAAATACAGACTTATTTGCAACAGAAAGTTCAAGAAGACCTATATGAAATCCAGAAACCTAAACTCCCAAGGCAACTTACGAAATGGTACTTTGAGAAAAACTCCCCGAATCTAAAACCAGTTTCCCACACAACAGTGCATGCAAAATTCTACTTTGACTATTTTGCAAAAAAGTAACCATCTGATGCAATATGGAAACCTGCTAAAGTCTATACTCTATAGGAAGAAGGACAAGGACAGCAATGGAAATACCATAATATGGCAAGATTCTAAAGCTGAACTTGCCGAGCTAGCTGGTATTCACATGCTACCACTTAAGGGATGTTGACTGATCATCATTAAGAAGCTTGCCGCCACTAAATAAAGTCCCTATCCATCATGCTAGGGTATTATGAAGATGCTGACTATCTTCTAATCTTGACTGTAGCAAGGTTGCCTGAACCATTATCTACTTGCTGTCATTTAATAATGACTACAACATGTTGCCTAAACCTTGACTGCCTTTAGATTTGGGAGATTTTTGTGTTTGTTAGTGTCATGTGGAGAGAAATTAACTAAGTTTGACTGTTGAATGTGTGGTGTATTCCTAGGGAGTGATCCTAAGTGTGTACTTTGAGTTATTGTCTTCATTGATTTTAGTTTTCATAGTTCACCTAAATTCCCTTTGTTTTCCCCTTCCTAATTTTCTGATTGTTTATGTTCACATATCAACAAAGATTTTAAGCCTTGTTCTTCCTTTTTTTATCGTTTCAACCTAAACTTTAAGTCCTAAATCAGCATCTATCTCGTCTAAGTGTGCTGTTTATAAAAATCCTCACACAATCATAAACAAAACAACTGAGAAACCACAGACTAAATGGAAAATAATCCTAAACTGAAATACATAGAAGACTTACATACCGCCGGAAAACAGATGATAAGACTTGATGGCAATATTCCAAAGAAAAATAGATTGCACAAGAACTATACCCGTTCCACAAATTCATCAAAGTCCTCTGAATATTGTATATTTCCATGGCTGACAATCCTAGAAGATGGAAAAACTTCCATTAACAGTATCATGTAACTTTAAACATCTTCCTCACTACGTATTTAACAAGCAAAACCAAGTTTTTATTAAACATCAATGCCCACTGACTATTACAAGGCAAATGTACCATGTAACTGAAAAAGGAAAAACTCAAAACACCCGTGTCTATCTAAAATTTGCCTTAACATAATGAACAGCAAAGATGTTTATATTGACATTTTCACCATCTTGTTTCCTTTCCACCTACTATTTGGCCTCAAAAACAACTTTTATGCCACCTGAAACATCTCATATTTACATTAAACCAGCTGCTCTATATATCCATATTGTCACTTAGGATGCAGGCAATGGACCCTATGAGAATTGAAAACCATTAAGTAAATGAATACGAGCAGGCAATAGCAAATTCCCACTATTGGTTTGAGAAATTACCAATGCAATTCCAAATCATAAGGGAATGAACCAGTAGCTATTTTTCGAATGAACAGATATAACATGATAAATGATGCAATATAATCAATTCATATTTATTGTTTAACATAGGAGATGATTCCACAGGCTTCTCTCCTCAAAAGAAACAGCCACCCACCACAGGTTTGGACATACAGAATAACAGCTAATATCCCTTGGAAAGAAACAGAACTGTAAGTTATTTTCTCTATTTTTGGTTTAAGCTAGCAGATATCCTAAATTACATATCTGACCTAATCCTTTTTCTAATCATCACGTAGAAATGCTTGAAACTTGAAAGATTGCATTAGCAATACAACCATCAAAGTTCAAAAGGCTTGGAGATCTACCAACGAAAACTGCAATTACTTGCAAGCAGACCAATATTCCACATCACCTTTATAAAATATAAGAAAGCAGCAGATCTTTTTAAAGCCATCAACCTGAGATGCAAAATTGTCTCGCTAGCAAACATAATCAATTTCAGTTTCAGCCCAACAAAAACTAAAATATTTTCCATTTGACTAATAAAACACCAAAATTCTCTCTAAAATTATAATGGAAGATCAACCTCTTCACCATTTGTTCTCCTTTAAAGTAAGAATCAAAATCAGTACAAGTTCTTCCATATAAACCTTTAAACAAGATGCACATACAATGTGATTCATAAGTTTAAGTATCTGAGAACAGCAGGACATTATGCGTATGATAGGCAAAACATAACCTTGACTTATTTTAAATGGATAAGGGATGATATCAACATCAAACTATCACCACAAGTAAACATGTGCCAATCCCATCCATAACAAACTCCAAAAAAGAGTTTATATTCATATGATTCCTATAGTAATGTATACAAGGTAGCATCTGTCCTGGCTCCAGGAAATCTTCATGGAACACCATAGATTTCTCAATTTGCGCATCTAACGTTTTAACTTCTGAATCTCCATTAATAGAATCATAATCTTAACATGAATTTCACTTTAAGAAATACTTTCCAATCAGAGTCTTCACATATATGGAGATTTAAGAATAATGCTCATCGGTTGATATGTTTGGTCCATTATCTCAACAATAAACATACCAGGAAATCTATTTCCATATACTACAGCATGATAAACTGTATCAAAAACCCTTAATCTTCGTTGTACATGAATTGCACTAGCTTCCTGATCAAGTTCCTAAGAGACCACCAACACTAGCTTAATGTCTATTAAGAATTAATAGAAAGAGAATACGAGATCTAATTAAAAAAAAGGAGGTGGGAGCATAAAGAAATGCAGATAAAAAGACCGAAGAATAGAAACAAAATTAAAAGGCAGCTTCGATAACTTTTTTCAAAAGTAAGCCTCTGTCCATCACCAGTGAGCTGCATCTGCATTTAAAGGCCCACCAAGACACATTAAGCAAGACCCTCTAAAACATTAGCAAAATTCAGGGTTAGATTTAAGAACATAATATTGTCAAGCAATTGAGATTACCACCAGTTTTTGAGTCCATTACTAGTAGCTGCTTCCATAGGAATGATCAGCCCTATAGTATGCTGGATATGCCCCATACTACAAAACAATGAAATAATTGACCATCATGAAATCGTTCATTGAAATTTAAATGCATTAACAGTAAGCTACGGGTTGAGTACTCACATCAGAACCATAATAATCATGGGAGTAGAGACCACTACCAGCTGCATGAGTATCTAAAGCACATAGCCATATGATCAAGTAATTTAGCAAAACACATTTGTATAGGAGAAGAAAGCAAAAGAAACATTAGGGAAAACAAAAATACACACCACGATGGCGGGTTTCACGAAATGGAACTTCTGGATAAGGATAATCCATTCGAGGACGGAATCTAGGAGGCTCCATGTATTCAGGATCATGGTCCTAAGAGCACAGGCAAAGTTTCAAACAAAAACAAATGCTAGGAGAGCAGCTGAATGTAGAAAGATAGCCATACAGAGCGTAGGAAACGTAACACCTACTGTCATATAAAATGGCCTCTTCATGCTATGTGCACTTTCATCATAATAATAAGGATCATCATACTGTCTTCCACCATAAGGTCTGTCAAAGGCTCGTTCAGGGGAAAATGGTTGCCTCCTAACAGGAGCATGCTCCCTCCATGCCCTTTCAGGGGCATCATACCAAGACCTACTGAAATTATATCTTGAGGGGCCAACAGTTGAGGCATCTCTACTGGATGCGTGATAACCATCCCCAGAATAACCCCTTCGTCCTGCTTTTGTGTAATAAAACATGTTAAGTTTTTAACCGTACAATGCAAAATCTATATTTGAATGAGTTGCATCTATAGTTAATATAAAGATAGCTAGATGGGGCAATAAATTAAATGGTTTGAATCTTGACCCATAATTTGCCGCCCATGGTACTCAAAATACTGATTGTCAAAGTCATGCTCATTTCTACTAGTTCGACCTCGTTCATTTTGATAGAAATACCGGCCATGTTGGAAACTTTTCAAGTTAAAGCGATGTCCAACACGCCCAAAACCCCTCCCTATAAGAAAAAATAATGTAAGTAACAAAAATGCAAAGACAACAATATATCGCTATTTCCAAAATATAAATGATTACCAAATCTCGAAAATGTGCCATTGCCACAACTTCCAATCCGAAATCCACCACACATTCCACCCTTTATAGCTTGTGTTTTAGGCATAGGATTTGATAGCCTTGCTCTGATTTTTGTCTACAGGAAAAAGAACAATAAACCAATTAATACATCTTTTGCTCTAAAAATACAACGATAGAATTCAAAAGAAGAAAATGGAAATGACATACCAACATTTCTAGAAAATCTCCTTAGAATGTTCTAGTGACATTCTTGACAAGTTCTAGACATTTTCTAGAAACAATTTAAAGATGATTGTTATAGAGTAGTTGCATGCCTGACAAGTAGTGTAATAAGTCTATTCATCATAAGAGACCTTTCCAGGGGTCCCTTTCGTGTGTGCTTAGCATCTTAGCTAGCTTGAATGAGGCAACAAAGGTGTACGCCTTAATCAGTCTCATCAAAGAACAAAAAACAAAACAAGAAAAACTTTGTATAACAATACTAATACTAAATATAAAAGAAAAAGTGTCTAGAGCAGGCCAAACCAAAGCACATTAATATCAAACTATATATGGTACCTTTGAGTTCCCATTGTCCAGCTGGGTGTTATTCACACCATCTACACAAGCTGTAGCGGCTTTATGGGTAGAGAAATCAACAAATCCAAAATCCTTTCTCTTAGCAGTTGACATGTTCCGGGCCAATACAATTCGCACTATCTCCCCATAACCTTTGAGTTTTTCCCTTACACGATCTTCATCCCAATGAGGAGGAAGTGAATCGAGAAATACAGTTTTCACTGTGGCCATTATCTCTGGATCAGGCTCGCGTAAAGGTTCAGCAAAAGCTACTTTAGCGGTTCTCTCGGGGTGTCCAAATACAACATCAGACTTCTGTAGTCTCTTGTATGCAAGCATGGCATCAGTATGGCAAGAGAACTCTAAAAATGCAAAACCACGGCTCAACCCTTCATGTTGAACATCTGGGACAAGAGTAATATTCTCAACACCTTCAATACCATATTCTTTAAGCTTTTGTTTGATCTGTGAAACCACAATATATAGCAAGAGTAAGCAAACAAATTAAGCTAACAACCATGCACTAAAAACTGTTCTATACTCACAGCTTCCTTCGTCCATGTATTGCAAATATTTCCCAAAAATAATGTGTCATTGTCTTCACTAGGTGCCGTCCCACATCGCTTCCCACAAATCTGTGAAGAATGGAAAAGTTAAATTAAGTTGATGAATGAACAAAGAAAATACTATAAACCAATACTCTTACCACAGGGTTCTTCATTTCTAACAAAGCACGCTTTGCATGTTCTTTATTTGCAAATTTCACAAAAGCATATCCCTTATTCTTGTTAGTTGTTGGATTCTTATGCAACCGAACTTCAACCACTTCACCAATTTTCTCAAAAACCTGTCTCAAATCCTCCTCAACAGCATCTCGATCCAATCCACCAACAAAAATCTCATGCTCTTTCTTAATTTTACGTTCTTTTGCAATGGCGGTTAGTTCTTTGCGCTCTTCTTCCAACGGCTCATTTTCTTCAGTAGGTTCCTCTACATCATCATCCGCAAGGTCTTCATCATCATGGTCTCCAAAATCCACTCTGTCACCATATTCCTCCAATTCATCAATACCACCATACCTATCCTGCTCCATTTGCACATCTTCTCCATGCAACTCATCTTTGCTGCTTCTTTTCTCATTAAGGTCAACGATCTTGGGATCCTTAGCACTAACTAGTTGTGACTCCTCTTTCAGTACATACTCTTCAATGTTTTCATCACAAGGTACCTCCTCCTCCATCGTAGTTTTCTCCTCCACTCTGGACTTTCCATAATCTTTTCCAACAGTTTCTTCCCCCTCTAAAATTTCTTTCATTTCAGTTTCTTCAACTTTTTCTCTTTCTGTTGATTCTCCTATCTTTTCAACAGCAAGTTCCGCCTTCTTTGGTGATTCTACAACCTTTACCTTGGCTATTTCACCCGAATTCGCAGTGGAGACAGCTTTTGCTTTCGCAGAAGCAGCACGTTTAGGTCTCCCAGGTGTTCTCTTTGCAACTAATTTAGTTCCTGATGCAACTTTGGTCTCTGGTGTTAATTTAGTAGCTTCAACTAATGGATTAACTTCTTCAGCTATTTCAAATTTAAAAATTAAAAAAAACCCAAATATCAATTTTATTAGAATCAATTTACAGACAGAATCCTACATCAATAGCAAAATCATACAACAACACTTCGAATATAGCTGAGCTCATGTATTATACCTGCTGGTCGTTCAACATTAGAATCAGAGCCATCGATATTCACCGGTGACATTTCATTGTTCTTTATTTGCTTTGCTTTGGTTGCAGAGCCCTGCTTTGTTCCCATCGTTTTCATAACCGTCGATTCCGCCGCAGCATCTGTAGATTTGGATGGAGTTTTCGCAGCAGATTTCCTCGCCGGCGGATTCTTTCTCGTGGTCACCGATTTGGCTGTATCCTGATTTCGAATTCTCATATTTTTACGCTAAATAGTTAAGCAGCGTTAGGAAAAAATGAGAGGAACAACCGAAGATTTCGATGAACAAATTGCATCATGATTCAGGGGAGAATCGAAGACCAAGAAATGATAAGGACAAAAACTACGTCGTTTTGAAATGAAACGGCCACGTGCAAGTACTATCAATTTGTAAACCCGATTTCTTTTTCGGGTCTCGTTGCCCCAGTAACCCGACACGTGTGGAAACTAATGTTACATGTGCGAACAATCTGTTGAAGTAGTTATCGAAGCGCACCTCCAGATTTTCCGGTCAAAAGGAAAATTTTTTAAGCTTCCAGGAATGGGCGCCTCTGAATCTGCTCTCTCTGGTTCTTCACCGGTAAGTTTTCGATTTCTCTCGACATTTTGCAAGCTCACGAGCTGGGTTCTGTTGAATCATTTCTTTATTGTTTAATTAACTTTGATTATTGGCAATGAAGAGTCCTGCCGATCAAATCACCACTATTTCTCAGAGACCAGAAACAGTCGATCCCGTTTTAGAGAAGCTCAAATCCCTTACAATTGTAAGTTTTTTTCTTTTTTAGAAAATTGTTTCAAATAATTTCACCGAGAAAATAAGGAATTTTATAGATTTTCTTTTTTTTTTTTGTTGTTGTTGAATTATAGACGTCTCCTATACTGACGACACCGCTGACGGAGGGTAGCTTAACGGACATTTTAGTAAGAAAACCATCGTCATCTTCAGCTCAAGGTGAGCCTGATCTGACTCTTTAAAAATTTTTTTTAGGTAGTGATTATTCTAAAATTATAATGACCTACATATGGTAATTAAATCACTGTATTTGGTAGGTTCTTAGTGTTCTTACTTAGTGGTGATCTTGAATCACCAAGAGTAATCACATTATTACCAATACAAAATCACCTAATTAAAGTAACATATAAAATTTCTAATATTCAATATTACTCATTTAATATTTGAATTAAAAACTTCCGTCTTCTTAAAATTATAATATTTTATGTTATAATTTTTTTATATTTTCATATTAATATTTATTGTAACAAATTCAAAAATAATTTGTACGTTTTTTATATATAATTTATTTTTTTCTTTTATTATGAATTTAATAAATTAGATTTATTTTTTAATTTAAATATTTATTTACATAATTTATATTATAAAAATTAATTTATTTATCAATAAATATATTTATTAATTTAATAATTTATTTATATTTTATTATAAAATAAATAAAATATTACTAATATTTTACAAATTATTATCTTTAAACAATATTAAAATTATTAATTTTTGTAACTATTATAATATCTATGATTATTTTCATACTTTTAAGCAAAATAATATTTGATTTTTAGTAATACCAAGCATGGTGATCTTTAATTTCTAAGAATTAATTATTATCAACTAAAAAAAACAATTTCAAATAATTAGCGATAAAATCATTTTGGTAATAAGATCAAATTTTATCACTTTTTGCTTGGTTACTGGTTGATGGCCCCAGAAAGATGAAGCCTTTTTGCTTGAAGTGAAACTGATAGTTGTTGTAATTGGTTTCAAATTAAATATGTTTCAATTTTTCAGAAACAAATAGGGATTGTGTTATTTTTTGCATAGAGATTGTGTTATTTTCAATTTTTCGAATCCTATAAACGAAGCGTTTAGCTAACATTAGGCACGTGTTATTTATTATTTCATTCGTAGAGAAATGTAGGTTGCAATTGTCTGAGACTTTTGTGTGATGAATGTTATGGCTGGTAAGATCACAGTATATCCTACTGTCATCAAACCTTGTGATTTCATAACTTTTTACTTTGCTGAGTTAAGCTTTTACTGGTTATCAAGCTCATAAGGCAGCCAATGAGCACAGAGACATTAGTATATTTGCTTACCCTAGGGAGTGGTGTCAGAGTAATCCATTAGATTCAAAGGAACTTGTAAAAGATAGATTTCTATTTTTTTTCTGTTTTTTTATGAAGCCATATGCTGTTGAAATTATATACCTATAAGGAGTGCCCATTCCCAGTTTAGGTCCATTAGATTAGCATGCAAATTTTCTTGACTTTGCATACATTGAAGGCTTTTATTCATTTATTTGTCTATTTGCTTACTATCAGTTCAGTAAGAGAAGATAAACGAAATGATGGTGTAAAGAGTGCTTTTCAATCACAGAGTTATGCACCTATAAAATACTCTAGTTGCTATTGTTGTTGAGTATAATGGAGAACCTAGTATGAGATTTTAAGAACCCTAGATTTCTGGGGAACTGCCCTTGCATAAAGTAAAACTTGCTGAAGAGAACAAAATAAAAGTAAATAAATAGAGGAGGGAAAAAATCCTTTATCAGGCATTGTAACTACCTTTCAGAAATTACATTAATTTGGGCTATAACTGGTTAATATGATCTTGAATATGCTCTTCAAGTGCCAATATATTCTGATTTTGTTCTGTGGTTGTTATAACTTTTTAAACTGACTTTAAATTGTTTCTTTTTGGACTATCAAAATAGCTACGATAAATCCAAAGGTGTTGCTGGAGCTGTTCTCAATGTATCGCGATTGGCAAGAGGAGAAGGCTCAAACAATTAGCAAGAAACAGGTGTGCCATCTCTGTCATAAATTTGTGAGTTCAAGAACAGTATGGGTGGATTAGTTCCGCTGTGGATCATTATGTACTCAATGTCAAATTCCTATTTTCCATCACTCTGCAATTAAATTAAGAACCAAGTAGAATTTTTGCTGTTATTTCAATTTTATAACAATTTAGTATGGCATACATAGTCATTTGGACAAACTCATTGCAGGAAGAGATAGAAAACAAAATAGAAGTTGCAGATGCTTTGGCAGTTAAACTTCTCCAACGTTTTAATTACTCAGTTTCCACAATGAAGACAACTTCACAAGATTTATCAGAAGGTAATTCAAGTTTTCTTCTAAACAATAGAGTGGGAGAGATGGTACAAATTAACTGTGGCTAAACATTCTGTAGAATCTGATGACTCCTCTTAAAAATCTTGATTGACTATATCTTGTATAATGCATGTAGTTCATGCATTGCAAGTGGAGCTTGGAGAGCTTAAAGGAAGGTTAACTGAGGTCCTCAGCAATTGTAACGCATTATGCAAGAGAATTGCTGCAGAGGGGCCTGAACCTCTTCGATCGTCTATCAAGCCATTTGCAGTTCCTATTGCAGCTCGTAACTTATCTTCGAAGCAAGGAGTTACACCTGCAAACCAAAGTTCAACGTCTACAGACGCCCAATTAGACTGACACTTTTTCTTTTTATCTCATCTGTAAATTAATTGACATATTCTTTTACCCTTTATTCTTCATTGAGATTGATGTTTATTTTGTGCCGGATACAAATTGCTTACTAACATTTGGGTCACCAAAGTTTTTAATACAGTTTACCGAGTAATTTTTCGGATTAAATGTGAAGGCGGTTGTGATTTATTCATTGCCTATGAAATCAAGAAAGAGAATGTTGCCCCTGCCGACATAATATAGTCGTAGAGAAAGGTCATCGTTTAAACCTCTCTTTTTCAAAGTAATAATCAGGAATCAATCCAATCATTTGAATCAAACTTATAACCATATCAAGAGTTTGGTTTTCACAAAGCTTATTAGGCAATGCATGTCCTCAATCCTCGACACATCACGTGATCTAATCGGGCGACACAAACAGTGAAACAAATCACAATATAAAGATCAAAGTCTCATATTCTGAGCTTGTACATGGATGGACCACTTCACTTCAAAGTTCAAACTGAAGGTATAAGATCCAGTTTCAAGGCAAAATATCAGGCTTTCCTTAAATAAAAATGGAATTTCAGAGTGACATCATTATGAACTTCCAGGAATTAAATGAATTAAAACAACATAAAACTTGAAATTAAATTAAACATGAAATAAATTTTCATCCAAAGGCTGTAAATTAAGGTTGTTGCTGGGCATCCATATAACCAGCATCAACCAACACTTTCTCCCTCTTAGCCAATTCAATATCTTCATCAACCATCATCTTCACCAATTGCTCAAACCCAACTCTGGGTTTCCAACCAAGAACCTTTCTTGCCTTACTTGAATCACCTTTCAAATTATCCACCTCGGCAGGCCTAAAATACCTCTTATCAATCACCACATGATCTTTCCAGTTCAAATCAACATACCCAAATGCCACTTCCAGAAACTCCTCCACCGTATGCGACTCCTCCGTCGCCACAACGTAATCGTCTGGCTTCTCTTGTTGCAACATCATCCACATAGCTTCCACGTAATCCCCAGCAAAACCCCAATCCCTCGAAGCTTGCAGATTCCCCAAAAATAACTTGCTTTGCAACCCAATCTTGATCCTGCCAACGGCCCGAGTAATTTTCCGGGTCACGAAATTCTCTCCTCTCCTCGGGGACTCGTGATTAAACAAAATTCCATTACAGGCATAGATCCCGTAAGCTTCCCTGTAATTGACAGTGTACCAATGCGCGGCGCATTTGGAAGCTGCGTATGGAGATCTGGGGTGAAATGGGGAATCTTCAGATTGCGGCGGAGTAGTGGATCCGAACATTTCCGAAGATCCTGCTTGGTAATACTTGATATGGCTCCGACCCGTGGCGGCGATGTGGGATCTAACGGCTTCCAACAATCGGAGGGCTCCAGTAGCCACCACATCAGCAGTATAATCAGGGATTTCAAAAGAGACCGCCACGTGGGATTGGGCAGCCAGATTGTAAACCTCGTCGGGTCGGATAGAGTCGAGCCAGCGACGAAGCGAGGAAGCATCGGTGAGGTCAGCGTAATGGAGCTTCATCCGAGCCTTGTGAGCATTGTGCGGGTCGATGTAGATGTGATTAATACGTTGCGTATTGAAGTTGGAAGAGCGGCGAATTAAGCCGTGGACTTCGTAGCCTTTGTTGAGGAGGAACTCGGTCAGGTATGAACCATCTTGACCGGTGATTCCAGTGATCAACGCGATCTTGCGGTCAGGAGTTGCGTCGCCGTTAACCGTGGGAGATCCAGATCCGGATCCGGCCGGGAAACTGTCACTGTTGGTTGCCATTTCGGAGGCGGAATATGGTGGAGAAAATTGACTAGATTTAGGGGAAAAAAATGGAAGAAGACGCGGCTTCAGTTCTTGTAAGCGATTGCTAGTTTTATAAGAGACGGGGCCGCCGGGGGCGGGGGGGGGTGTCGAGATAGAGGACGATAAAATGGTCAATGAAAAAGATATAAATATCATATGAACTTACGATTTTGTCCTTGAGAAGTTAAATGTGCGGTGCAATTTGATTGGTTGAGTGCGGTGAATTGTCTTTATTATTGGTTAATGACAGTAGGAAATTTGACTTTTTGTACTCATGCAACACGTTTTTGTACTTAGATCGCCGATGATGGAGTCCATGTAGATGTAACTCGTCCGAATCCGAAAATTTTTCTAAATTAATTCGTGATTGAATTTAAACTAAATTGATAAAAAAAAATTAAAAAATTTTGAATCTGAAAAAATATAAACTCAAAAAAAATTTGTATTCGAGAAAATTGAAACCAATACAATTCAAATTCGTCATAATTCAAATACGTTATAACTCAAATTTGTAATGATCTAAATTTAAGATCAATCTAATATAAATTCATTAAAAATTAAATTAAATAAAAAAAATCAAAACTATAATTATGCAAATTTTTAAATAAACAAAAAATAAATATTTTTTTAATTTAAAATTTTTAAATTTTAAAAATGTTATTATTAAATAATTATATCAATAATAATCAACAAAATTAGCATTAAATTTTTAATTTTGATTATAAAATAAATTCAATTTGACACACTAAATATTAATATTTAATGATTTTTAAAACTATCTCATTATATTTACAATAATTATCAATATAAAACAAAAACTAATATCATTAATTTAACATTTAATTTCATTATAAAAAGTCATTTACAATATATTATTGATTCATTACACTTATTTCATATAATTAAATTTTAATTTTGATATATTGATAATTCATGTATAAAAAAATATATTATAAATTTAATATTTGATTTAATTTGATGTTTTGAGAAAAACGTTAATACCATTATTAACAAAAAAAAAATTAACTTTAAGTTATATTTTTTAATGTTTCAAACATATTATATTAAAATATTAATTTTACTTGAAAATAAAACAAAATTATCTTATAAATTAAAATATATTATTTTAAAATTAAAATATAAAGATGAAAAAAATTAAATAATTAAATTAAACATACAATATCAAACAAATATAATAAAATAAAAGATGTTTTTCAATTCCTAAAGTCAAATAACCAAAGTTTTAAATTTTCTAAGAATAATGACCATCATCAAGGTTAAGTCACCCGAACATCTAAAATTTGACTCTACAAATTACAATTCAAGCAACAATTATTGTTAATAAAAATTTTTCAAAATTTTTTACAACAAAAAAATATATTATAAAGTAAAATATCAACATACATTGTAATAAAAAAACTCTTAATCCTCTGCCATAAGAAAACTAATTCAACATTGCTAGAGTCTTCCCAATTTTCAATATTTCATCATCTTCTTTATCTAATAACATTTATAAAAATAATCATATGATCATTAAAAAAAAAAAAAACCTTTGATAAAAATATAGTCAATGACAATAAAATCTTACAATTCCGAGTAATTGTCATATCGTATTCATATAACCAATTACGAGTGGTAATCAATATTTTTGCATTATGGTGTCCAAGGCAATTTCTCCATTTATCGATAACTCTACCACCCATACTAAATGTTGATTCAGAAGCATCTGTGGTAATTGGAATACTTAGTATATCCTTAGCCATGAGTGAAGAGTGAAAGGATAGGATATCGAAATTTATGTGTCTTCGAATAATCAAGAACATCAAGTTGCATCTCATAATCTTCTCTTGCTTCATCTAAATAGACATCCAACTTTGATCTATGTGAAATAGATACAATGTTATAACTTTTAAATCCCTATAATAATAAAGTAAGTTTATATATCAAATTATAATAACAAACTTACAATTAAAGTTAAAGAAAAAAAAAACTAAATACTTTTTATCTGAGAAATAAGTAATAATTTATAACTAAAGTTATTTATATTAAACTTTTGGCTAAAAATAAAATAAATATTAAACTTACAATCATTTTTTCAGAAACTTTTCTTTCATTACTTTGATCACTATCAAAAGGCATCATAGATGATTGAAAACGGATATTACCTTGATTCTCAAACTCTTTGAAAAGTAGCTTCAATTCTTCTAAAACATCCAACCACTTGCTTTCATATCCACTACCTAATTTTGGCAAAAGATATTGTAAAATTTACAGCTTAAAACAAGGATCAAGTATAACTGTAAAATATAACACCATACTGTAATCATCCTAATACTTACAAAACTTATTGTCCATTTCTTTTGCCATTAGTACCATGATTGGGTCTTTAGACACAAGCATATTCCGAATTTTTTTTGAATTTACCATACATTTTCAAAATACAAATTACTAATTACTAGTGGGATAGTCTATTCTTGAAAACAAAGTGGTGATCTCAAAAAAAGGCTTTTAAAACCTGAAAACCTTCTCAATCCAAATAAATTCTTCAAAACTTGAAAGTATATCATAATTTTCATCTGACAGACTCAACTTCTCAAAAGCTTTATGAAAGTAAACGAATTTAACTAACATCAAATATGTAGAGTTCCACCTAGTTACATCATCCAACCGCAATCCTCTTGAATAATTCAAATTTGATTGAATTGCACATTCGCGAAACTTGATCTTTCTTGCTTCAGAACCTTCCACATATTTTATACTTTCTCTTATTTTTTTCAAGGGTTCATTAATGACTGATAAACCCCTTTAAACAATAAGATTCAATATATGAGCAGTACAATGAATATGAAAAAATTTTCCATTACATAGCAATGCACCTTGTTGATCAAGATGGCCACGTAAAAGGTTTTGCATGCTATCCATATTGCTAGCATTATCCGAAGTAATGCTAAAAATTTCTTTCTCATTTCTCCGTTCTTTTAGTAAATAATAAATCTTGTTATACAAAAGAAATGCAGTCTGTGATGGTGGCACATGTCGAAAATTCAAAATTGTACTATGTAACTTCCAATCATCATCAATAAAATGTGCAGTTAAACAAATATATCCATCAATAGTACAGGATGTCCACATATCAACAGTCAAAGAAATTCTACTTAAAATTTTCTTCATGCTAGATTTAACTTTCTCTTTCATTTTATTTTGTAGTTTCAAACAATCAACCTTACAAGTATTCCTACAAGTGGGTTAGAAATAATTATTCAAATAGGAATGAGAGGCTCTAAGTTTAACATCCTCAACAAAATCTTAAATTGATATCCATGGGCAATCACACTTTCAGTAATCATTTTACGAGCAACAAGTGGGTCTATTTTTTACTTCCACTCACATCCTCATTAGAAAGATCTATTTTGTTACATTTTTCCATATGATGATGTATGGTAGACGTACCTGAATAAGACCCACCAATCATAACAATCCCAAAAAACTTGCATCTAGCTCTTTCTTTGGTATCATTGTTTTTCACTTGACATACCAACAATTCTTTAGCATCAAGCGCAACAAAAATAGTCCAAACATTGGATTTGGATTTTTTTTTTTTTTGCCTTTTTGAAGAATTAGAAGCAGAAGAAGGTGTTGTAGAGCAATCTATAATGTTAGGGCCATCATCACCATTAGAGTTTGATTCCACGTATGTATCTGAAAAAAAAAATTAAGATAGATCAATCCCATCAAACCCATATGAAGAATAATGAAAATATAATAATATTATATAACAAAAATAAATCATATAAATATATTAATTGCATGTACTAGTTAACACTTGAAAATAGTATAACATAATTTAAAAATCGCACAATTTATAGAGACTATGCTAAACAAAAAGTTCCATGTTTAGAAGCTTAATAATCAATATCCAATTTTGTTTATTGCATGCACCTGTCATCAACAAGAGTTTTATTTGAGGTTTGCGCCATGTAATTAATTTTGTTTATTGTTCAAGTTATATGTCATGATTACATGAAAATGTTTTTGAAAGTTGCACTGCAGTAAACATGTCTATTTTATTAAAAAGAAAAGCCATAAGAAAACCTCCAAACAAACCATTATTAACATACAAATATGTTACTCTTCATATTAGAGTTTAATTTTTTATTATTATTATTATTATTATTTTTGCTTACTTTGGCATCATGTAACTTGATTGACTTCAACAAAAACTAAAATAAAATAAAATAGAGGAAGAATGAAACTGGTTGTTACTAAGATTCGCTGTTCTTGTTAGGTTTCATTACAATCGCTAGTTGGGAGTGATTGCCGTCGATTGGAAATTTGTTGATGAAGACTCATGGTAGTAGACTTGAGGAAGAAGGGTGAGATTGGAGAAAATAAATTTAAGGAAGAAAAGTTCGGGTGCACCGTTAGTTTTAAGAATAGCTAATTGACTTATGAGTTATAAATTGAATTATGATATGGTATTAGGGTTTGCTTAATTTTTTAGGTATTTTGATTTTTTATTTTTGCAAATTAAAAATTTAGAGTTGTGAGGCAGTGAGGACCTGTTCCATTCAAGACTTTTAATGGTTGATGTTATATGGACTTTTAATTGCTATTAATCACTTGAAATGTTAAACTATTCCTGCATATGGTTCTATAATCATCTTTTAATTGCTAACATCATATCATATAGACTTTTAATTTCTTGCTTGCAAGTCATAAAATAATTAAAATTATAACAATTGAGTCAAATAATGTTATGCTAACGTACATTTTTGTAATATTTTTATTTAATTATATAAAAAATAAAATTACTTCTTAAGTCTAAATTAAAAAAATATTTTTATAAATTATAACTTATAAAATTTAAAAAAATTTTGGAATTTGTCTAAATAGTAAACTCGTTCAACTCAAATCAATCGAATCCAAAAGAATCCAAATTTAAAATAGTCCATTTCCGAAATTGTCTAAACTCAAAATTATTTAAATTTGAAATTATCTAAATCTAAAAAAATTCAAATCCAAAAGTATCCAAATTTAAAAATATCCAAATCCAAAACAATCCAAACCTAAAATAAATCCGAATATAAAAGATTCGAAACTGAAAATAGTTCAATCTAAA